TGCCTTTTCTGGCTCCGCCACCTCTGGCTCTGTCTCTTCTGGCTCTGCCACCTCTGGATCTGCCACTTCTGGCTCTGTCTCTTCTGGCTCTGCCTCTTCTGGCTCTGCCTCTTCTGGAGTTGTTACAACAGTTTCCGGCACCACTGCTGGTACTGAAGGATGGAGTGGATCCTTGACCTCCACCTCCACCTCAGCTACCTACCTCACTGGATCTGATGGGAAGACTACTGAATCAGACAACTACTACTTGTTGACCCCAACTTCTGGATCTGCCACTTCTGGCTCTGCCTCCTCTGGTAGCACCGTTTCTGGAGTTGTTGCAACAGTTTCCGGCACCACTGCTGGTACTGAGGGATGGAGTGGATCATTGACCTCCACCTCTACATCTGCTACCTACTTCACTGGATCTGACGGAAAGACCACGGAATCTGACAACTACTACTTGTTGACACCTACTTCTGGCTCTGCCTCTTCTGGCTCTGCCTCGGCCTCATCTTTTGGCTCCGCCTTCAGTTTCACTTCTAACTCAACTTCAGGTCTATTGAACTCTGGGTCCTCAACTTCGGGATCCCCAACCTTTGTCTCCTCTAGCTCTGGTTCTTCCACCTCTGGTCCTGGCTCTCCTTCTTCCGTAACTGGATGCGTCCCAACTGGGTCTCCTATGCCAGGATTGAAAGTACAGGTCTTGGACTCATCAGATGTGCTTTTGTCAAATGCGCAATCCTTGATTGATTTCAATCCTAAAGCATACCCCGATGTTCAGGTCGTATATGCTCAAAATCTCGACATTGCTCTTTCTGATACCGTTCAGATAGACGGTTATTTCACACCAAAGACAAATGGATCTTACACTTTCTACTTGGATGCTACCGATTCAATTTTCTTGATTGGTGATGGTGCGGCCTTTGCTTGCGACAACTCTCAAGTTTTTGAAGCTCATATAAGTAAAATTGCCATCGATACTGTTGGGACTTCAAGGCTACCTCGACTCTTGAGAAGGGCTACCACAAGTTTCACCACAACCTTGTCGGCAGGTCGCAGCTATCCAATTAGGATTGTCTCCTCCGGCCTAAGGTCAGATTCGGGTATATTGAGTTACGAAGGACCTGGTGTAACAAGGACAACAGATTTTACTGGGGTTGCAAGCTCGTATGTCGATTCACAATCATCTGGTAGCACCGTTTCTGGAGTTGTTGCAACAGTTTCCGGTACTACTGCTGGTACTGAAGGATGGAGTGGATCCTTGACCTCCACCTCTACATCTGCCACCTACTTCACTGGATCTGATGGGAAGACTACTGAATCAGACAACTACTACTTGTTGACACCTACTTCTGGATCTGCCACCTCTGGATCTTCCACTTCTGGATCTTCCACTTCTGGACCTGCCACTTCTGGCTCTGCCTCTTCTGGTAGCACCGTTTCTGGAGTCGTTGCAACAGTTTCCGGTACCACTGCTGGTACTGAAGGATGGAGTGGATCTTTGACCTCCACCTCCACCTCAGCTACCTACATTACTGGATCTGATGGTAAAGCTACTGAATCAGACAACTACTACTTGTTGACACCTTCTTCTGGCTCTGCCTCTTCTGGCTCTGCCACCTCTGGCTCTGCCACTTCTGTATCTGCTTCTGGTAGCACCGTTTCTGGAGCTGTTACAACAGTTTCCGGTACCACTGCTGGTACTGAAGGATGGAGTGGATCTTTGACTTCCACGTCAACCTCAGCTACATACTTCACTGGATCTGATGGTAAGACTACTGAATCAGACAACTACTACTTGTTGACCCCAACTTCTGGATCTGCATCTGGCTCTGCTTCTGGGTCATCTGGCGCAATCACTACTTCCGCCTCTGGTGTGGTTCCAAAAGTATCTGGCACTACTGCTGGAACCGTCACCTTGTCTGGTTCGATTTCTGAACCAAAGGTCACAACCACCTTAGGAGATAACCAAATGCCCATCGGAATTTCTGAGGGAACCATGGCTTCCGTATCATCCACGGTAGATACAGTTATCGCGCCTGTTGCAACTGGTGCCACGGGCGGTGCGGGCAAGGTAAGCACAGCTATACAAAGTGATAATTCCGCTTCTTCGATGCCAACTTCAGACTTGAAACCTACCACTGTGATTTCGACTAACGTAGCAAGTTCAATGAGTACCGAGACGGTTACAACTTACTTGTCCACACACACTACGCTTGCGGTATCGACTTTTGAGGGTGGAGCCAGCCGTTTGAAGCTGGGCTTGCTCTTCGCGCTTCCACTAGCGTTACTCTGAGAGATGTGGCCAGCGCAAATAATAGTTCTCTAATTTTAATTATGTAAGATAAACAATAATATATTAAATCTGTTGCTAAACAAGTTCTTTATTTAGGTGCGATCACAGGCATGAAATTCAAGCTTGTTAATGACATCCCAGCTTTCGAGCATCGGGAAAATAAAATCGAGGCTAATCTATGTGCGTACAGAGGTTGTATCTGCTATGTTTACAGAGAGCCATATATCTGTTTGGTATTCAAAAATTAGCACAATAGCGTTACAGCTTATATCGTCTTCAAGACGAAAAAAATCTTAACGAGCACTTAGGAATAGATTAACTTGCCTTGAGGCTCTCCATCTGTGTATGAAAATACGTCAAATCACGGAGCGTGAATATCAATAATGAGACTGGCCGTCATCCTAGTTTCAAGTCTTTTAAATAATAAGATGGCGACAATGATCGGGCATAGCATCATCATAGTCGCAAGGCAGCCGATTTGAACACTGTCGATCACCGTGCTTACGAATATTTTTACATTTCCAAACCGGTGTACTCTCATTTGTGCTAGATCTGTGTCTTTCTACAAAAATCGGATACACGAAGGATCACACACCATGGTGGCTTGCTCTTCAATACTATAATAAACTCGGTGTCAATACCAAGATTTGGTCTCTTAACGCTTGGCAATTCATGAAAAAAAAAAAAAATAGTCACTAACAGCCAAACCCATTAATGAGACAAACCACTCTTTTCTCTGTACCTTTCACTAAATGTCACTTTAGCTTCACGCCTCGCGACTTTCAGTTGGTTAGGGCAATTGATGCGGCAACCTACATTAACAACCTCTGTGCTTTCGTACCTTGCGCGATGATATGCTCCCACATAGGAGCAATGTCCGACTTCACTTACCTCACCTGCGTTACGGGTGGCCCTCAACTGTTCATGAGATTAAAACTGTCATAGTCGTTATGCTCATCACTGTTCAGGAAATCAAGCACTTTCCATGATATGTGGCACCTATCGAAAGTGGCAGTTGTCCGCGATAACTTTGGACTAGTCTCCTAATTACGTAGATGGAAGGCGAACGCGGCAGAATTTGAGAGCGAGCTGACAATATGCCCAAATCAGTTGTTAGAAGATGAATGATACAACTTTTCCATTTTCGCATTCTGCTTCGCCATTGACTTCCGTCATCAAACAGAGCCAGTTTATCTGGTAAATTAATGAACTTTCTTGGATGACAATACCTATCCAGCGATGAGCTGGATTGTAGGACAAATGTGGCATTTGACTTTGATGAATTATATAAGAGGGGCTCTAAATTGTAACTGAGATGCAAAATTAGAACCCTTTGAAGCTAGTCGAATCATTCCTTTCACTAATAATAATGATGAGGACTGATAAAAAACAGGCCACTGTCGTGGGCGATGTCCTTGAAGCAGGTAATGGCTCAGTTTACGAACTCACGATAGGAGGAGAAACAGGAGACAGTACAAGAGATGTGTATCAACGAATTCAGCGCAGAAAATTGCTTCCACGACAGGTATCAATGATTGGCATTGGAGGAGCGATTGGTACTGCGCTGTTTGTATCGATTGGTAGCAAAGTGTTGCAAGGTGGGCCAGCTTCTCTTTTGATAGCATTCTGCCTGTGGTCTGTCGTTTTTATCGGACTTTCGACCTCTATGTGTGTGATGGCGACGTATCTGCCGGTGACCGGGTCGTTCGTGCATTACACCAGCCGGTTTGTTGATAAGTCTTGTGGGTTTGCCGTGGGATGGACATATTTTGTGTGCCAGGCGGCAAATGTGTGCTTTGAGATTACCGCTGTATGTCTAGTAATAGAGTATTGGACTGACAAAATACCCAAGGCTGCAATCATCAGCGCTCTTATCCTACTATTCGCGGCTCTGAACTTATACTCTGTGTTTTTCTTTGGCGAGGGCGAATTCTACCTCTCGATAGGAAAGGTAGTTCTGGCGATTGGATTGATTATATTCACGATTGTTGTTATGTCGGGCGGGAACCCGCAGCACAAGGTCCTAGGCTTTAAGACATGGAATAATCCAGGAGCTTTTGCAGAGTACATCACAACCGGCACCTCGGGCAAATTCAACGGTTTCATGGCGTGCTTAGTCTTTGCTCTTTACGTTTTTTGGGGTGTTGATTATTTAGGAAATGCTGCCAGCGAAGCAATGAACCCGAGGAAAGTTGTCCCCGCTTCGTTCAAAAAGGTGTTTGGAAGGCTTATCATCTTTTACATTGGTGGAGCCATCTGTGTGGGTGTACTGATACCCTTCAACGATCCAGATTTGAAGGCAGCACTTGAAGAAGGGGCAGCTGGTGCCGGTGCTTCACCCTATGTATCTGCAATGAAAACTTTGGGTATTGGTGTACTTCCTCACATCGTGAACGTCTTGATCTTAACCTCGATTATCTCGGCCGGGAATGGATCATTATATTCTGCTTCCAGAGTATTACATCGTCTTGCGCTGGAGGGCCAGGCCCCTGCGTGTTTCAAAAGGGTTACCAAGAGAGGTGTTCCTATCTATTGCTGCCTGTCAGTATTGATAATTTGTGCGTTGGCTTACCTCTCTGTGTCAAACAACACCAACAAAGTTTTGACCTGGTTTCTTAATGTTGAGACTGCGGCAATGGCAATTGTGTACATTTTCATTTGCGTGTCGTACTTACAATTTCGCAAGGGATGTCTCGTCCAAGGAGTTGATTTGAAATCACTACCATATTACAGTAAGTATTTGCCTTACTTGACTTGGCATTCGCTGTTCTGGTTAACACTAATGCTGTTCGTTAGTGGCTATACTGTTTTCCTGAAGGACAACTGGGATGTTCAATCATTTGTGTTCTCATATTTTATGATTCCATTTTTCGTCATCTTCTACCTTGTTCACAAATTGTTTTACAAGACCAGGTTTGTCAGGCCGGAAGAAATGGATTTGTTCAGTGGCATCAAGGAACTTGCAGAGGAAGATGCTTTCTGGGCCGAGAATCCGCCAAAGACCAATCTGTTTGACAAGATGTTTAGCTTTCTGTTGTAATATTTATATAATGATAAGTTCTTTTCCTTTGATTGAATGATTACTGTGGGAATGATGAAGTTGCACCACCTAGACTTGGCACTGGTAGTGGTAAGCTGCCAACAAATGGAACTGCTTCATTCTAAATACAATATTCTCGATCACATGACTAAACATTTTGGCACTTTCTGGCCACTTGGCTATAAAAGCCCGGATTAGCAACTAGGAGCGAGGTTGGTCAATGGACGCGCCCCGGCGAGTGGCGCCGATCTATCGAGCCTTTTACAGAATAATTATTGATAACATGCCATCCCAAACAAGGTGTGTTACCGCTCATAACTGCCTTCTCTTCCACTATGACAAGACAAGCAGAGGTCGGATATACATACATATATATATATCTGTATAGGTGAGCTTCTTGAATTTGTGATAGCCTTTTACAAGTTCTTCAGTCGACAACCATTATTAGTTAATGTCTTGTATTGATCTACTTCGAGGATACGCATCGCACGATCTACTGCCGCGAGAGGAGATCATTAGTGCAACGTCCCAGCTTTTGGCGCCAGTGGATAGAGATTTCGACGATAATGAAGAAGATAAACACCCCTTGGTTTACGGAACTGATCAGGGCTCTCTGTGGGTCCGCAAGTGCATATGCAATTTTCAAAATGAAACCTTTAACCTGGATCACAGAAGCCGGATGGTGACAAAACCTGAATTTTTGAATCTTACTACTGGTGCCAGCTATGGGTTCATGAACATCCTACTGCAGACTACACTCCCACATACAAATTACACTAGACAAGCATTTATCGTGACGCCAACCTACTTTCTCATTAATGATGCCTTTCTTGACGCCGGATTTACAGGAAAATTGACAGCCATAGAGGAACTAGACGATGGCTTAGATATCGCGTTTCTGGAGAACAGACTACAATTTTTCGATAGCACTGCTAGCGATTACGACGACTCTGACTCTCTTCATCTAATTAACGCCAAGAATGGTCGGAAAAAGATATATCGTTACGTACTGTATCTTGTTCCAACATTCTCAAATCCCGGGGGTGTGGTTTACTCCAAGGACTGCAGAATGAAATTACTGGCATTGGCTCGGACATATGATATGCTTATTATTTCAGATGATGTCTACGACCTTTTATCGTTCGATGGTTCAGATACCACACCACCAGAGTTGCGATTTCCTCATCTAGATAGAGAGACGCTCCCAAATGGAAACACCTACGGTAATACAGTATCGAACTGCACATTTTCTAAAATCGTCGCTCCAGGTTTGAGAACTGGATATCAGGAAACCGCCAACGAAAATTTGGCTGGTCAGCTATCTCGCGGCGGCGCTAATATTTCTGGGGGAACACCTTCTCAGCTTAATTCAATGATCGTTGGTACAATGATATCAAATGGTTCTATCAAACAGATCATACAACGAATGGTATGCACTCTGCGCACAAGGTCCCAAATTTTGAAAAAGTCAGTCAGCCTTTATCTTCCCAGAGGGTCTATTTGCCGAGAAATTCGGGGAGGGTACTTCACTTGGTGTACACTTCCTGAACCCTATGATGCGAGTGAAATATGTAAAGAAGCAAAAGACAGAGGGTTGTTGCTTGGAGACGGGTCTCTCTTTGAGGTGTTTGGTGATGAGAAAGGCTGGGGGAAAAGCAGCGTCAGGCTATGTATAAGTTTTGCTAATGCTGAAGAAATTGAAAAGGCCATCAAAATATGGGGTACGTCATGCCAGTGGTACATTGAACACTGGGCAGAGATTCAAAGTAAGGGAGATCACCTTGGCATCGCGCCGTAAACACGAACAGGCATCGATTACCTGTTCTTACTAATTAAGTGGTGAAGCTATTAAATGGAGGTGACATAGGATTATTCGTTGGTGTCGAAGTGCAGAGTTGCACAATGATAACACTAGTGATTTCAGCTTAAGACCTATAATGAAACCATCAGATAATTCCAATTGTCTATTGAGGCGAGTGAGCGCCATTAGTAGACGATGTTAGAAATACCCACCGCTACTGCTCTCGTACTGTTTTAATAGCGCGGAGTTGCTTAAAGGCAACTATTGTCGCGATACGATAGGGCTTGATATATAAATTACGAAGAGGTAAAATCACGCTAATTTGTTTCTACCTATGACTAGCTATCAACAATCAAGGATTTTCCACTAGTTCTACTTGTATACAAACTCCCAGTTGAGGCTAAACCTCAATTTTCCTTGAAAGACCGTCTGAAATCGATTATTAACATTATCCTGACATCTTGAGGTTTCCTATCTTAATACGACAACGCATGAGCATACTGTGCATACTAATGGTCTGTCTAACACCCGCTTGATGAGCCATGTGTTATACACGACTGAATCAAAATAATGATACACGAATTCCCCTACCCGGATCTTGCCAGTCCATCCACATAACGTTGAAGTCAGGAATGTCTACTTACAGTCTGCTTTTGGCTTATAGTATAAATTAGTAATATACACTGATAGTAATGTTGGACGAGAGAGAGGGGATAATATAAGTTGGCAAGGGTCACCAAGTTCTCGGAACCAAATTTCCAACTCTGAGAGCTCTCAAAGCTCACTGAAAGATGAAGACCATCTTCGTATCTGGTGCAACTGGTTTTATTGCCCTCTATGTGGTGAATGATCTGTTACAAAGTGGTTATAAGGTCATTGGCTCAGTCAGAAGTCAAGATAAAGCTGACCGGTTGTCAAAACAGTTCAAATACAATCAGAATTTGAGCTTTGTAATTGTGCCTGATATTGCCAAAGCAGGCGCGTTTGACGAGGCCTTTGAAAAATTTGGTAAGGAAATTTCCGCCGTCATACACACTGCCTCTCCTTTCCATTTTTCAACTACTGAGTATGAGAAGGACCTGTTAATTCCTGCAGTCAACGGTACCAAGGGAATCCTTGAATCAATCAAGAAATATGCTGCTACTTTTGTTGAAAGAGTAGTGGTTACTTCATCTTACGCCGCCATATGCGATTTTGCTTCTGATAGCGACAAAACCAATACTTTTACGGAGGAGTCGTGGAACATGGTCACCTGGGAAGAAGCAAAAGGAGATGCCTTGACTGCTTACTGCGGCTCTAAGACCTTTGCGGAAAAGGAAGCATGGGACTTTTTGGAGAGCAATAAGGATACTGTGAGTTTTAAACTCACCACTATCAACCCAGTCTTTGTTCTAGGACCTCAGCTTTTTGATGAAAATGTCTCGAGTCAGCTGAACACTTCCTGTGAACATGTTAACAACATCGTTCACTCGACGCCAGAGAGTAAATTAGATGAAGTTCTATTTGGCGGTTATATTGATGTCCGTGATGTCTCCAAGGCTCACCAGCTTGCATTCGAAAGAGAAAACTTAGCTGGCCAAAGGCTAATTCTTTCAGAAGGTAGATTTACCCTGCAAGATATTGCTGACACTATTAACGCGGACTTCCCGGAGCTTCGGGGTAAGATTGTCGTGGGCAAGCCTGGTTCGAGTAAAGAAAAATTAAGCAGTATAGCTAAGTTGGATAACTCCAAAACCAAAGCCCTGCTCGGTTTCAAGTTCAAGACTTTCCGTGAAGCTGTAGATGATACTACGGCCCAAATATTGAAAATGGAAAAGAAATAGAATTTCGATGGTACTTTTGTTGAAATTAAGGTTTTTTACTTGAACATATGTCGAAAACAGTCGATCAACGCTGTCAGGCCGAAACAGTGATATATATAATGTGGCAAATACATGTTGTGAGCGTCAATCATATCGAAGTGGTGCCTTGTCCGGGACTCTTATTCACACAATACTGTATACTGCAGGGAGAGTTGCCTTCTTGCAGGGGTTGAATGACCCTCAGTTTCTTCGTGATAACCCGAGGTATCCCATCCTCTCAGAAGCCACTAAGTCCGTTCAAGAAGTCAAAGAGCTGTGGATGCTGGTATGGAAGGCATTTTTGTGTTAAATCACGGAGGAAGAGAGCAGGGTGGCGGAACTGCAACCATTGACAATGTCTTGGCTGTTGCAGCATCCCAATTGATAAACCTTATATTCACGTGTTCATGCTAGGTGGCCAATTAGGATTGAGTTCCGATCTCCGCTCGCCATCGAAAGACCTTGTTGTGAATCTGCAATTTAAGGGCCTCACATCTGTTGGCGTGGAGAATTTTTTGGGAGAATGAAACCTTATTTCAGCTGTAGGTGATGCAAAACTTAAAACAACTTGGATTTCAAATGGAATTGATTTTACAATTTTATGACGGATTAGATTGTTCCCTTCTATAAATATCTGATGCTAAGCGATGTCAATCACAGTTCACCTCAGTGCACCGGAGTTTGGGTGACTCCGGAGAAGAATTGTTGATAAAAGCATTTACCGGATTTCTATAAGTAGGATGGTATATCGGCACGCGCTGGCCTACAACTATCTATCAATTAGTTGGAGGAAGAGAAATGGTAGTCTCTACAAACGTTGAAGTGTCAACTTTGCCCTTCAACACTGGGTGCTGCAACACCTTGGAGAGCCATTCACTGAGCTTGGAAAAGCCACCAAACTTATCCTTTCCAAGCGCAAATCCATACAGAGTTGCGCATATAGTGGCAGTGAACAAATCGGCAATTGTGATGTGGTCATTCACGAGAAACTCGTGTTCGGTCAAGCGGTTCTCCAAGTACCCAAAGCATGCAATACACTGGGAGAGCTTCTCATCATACTGCTCTTGCGCCGCATTGGATCTAGCTGCTGTAACCACTGCAATTGTGCTTTGGGTAATTTCATGATTTGTAAAAGACAAAAATCTGAGCACTTGAGAACGTTCCTCGAGCGTGGATCCGTAAAGTGTCTTTTCTAATTCTGCATCACCCTTTAAGTTGACCAGGTAGTACAGAACTGCGATAACTTCGGTCAATTGAAAGCCATCGCGGCCCTGATAGGCGGGATTCTTTCCCAAGGGAAATAAACTTTTAAACTCCTCAGCTTTGTCACTAGGGTTGACGAGCTCGATGTCCAGTTCGAGCCACTCAACTAGAGCACGGGGCAGCATCCCCCTTGCATTCTTAATAGCGTATAGTGTTCCAGCGGCCATTTTCGTGATGAGGTGTGTGGAAAAAGAGGAAGGTTCAGGTTGAAAAGTCCAAGGAGGTGCATTTTATACTCGAAGTGTCCGTTGAGCATGGCATTGGCTTGGATAAAGTTCATTACTAAGGACGGTAGATAATCGTACGTGTTCAATGTGTTTTGCGTGTGTACATCGTGGTCTTAGTAATTGTTTAATTCATCTCGCGCACTACAAGCGATACGGAAAGAACGTGAACATTGATAAGTTTGTTGTTACGAGTGGCAACTAGCAGCTTTCGAGGCGTACGGCAAACCTTGGCATGGGATTGTAGAAATATGGATTGATTTCAAAGTTATGCTTATTAATATTTTTACGGTGCTGATAGCTAGCAAATTATTATGGAAGAATGATGATCAGCGCGGCTCCATAAGTTCGAGCAATGAAAATTTCGAGAGCTGAATTATGTGAAAGGATGGAATGTATATGCATACATAGTGCTGTCAGTGTTTTCATTGAATGTCATAGCATGCAAAATGGGGGTTTTCACAAAGGAATGGAGTATTTACTGAACGAAAATTTCACGGCTGGGAATACAAACGCAGCACAGGCTCTCTGAGTTTAGTGATATCAATATCCCATCAAAGCCGCCAGTTTCTTGGTTGTCTTTACAATTGTGTTCTAGATCACTGGAGGATCTCCCGCTTTTTTCCAGAATAGGGCTCTCTATCAACATATACTTATAGTTTTAGATAGGAGTCCCTTCTAGGATACACATATATGTCATTACAGTTCCTTGGTGAATGCAAATCCTTCTCTTAGATCGTCTTCGGCAAAAGCGCAGTTGCTCATATCTTTCTTCACCACCTCCCCTTCTGGGGAGATGTCAAAGTCAAAGATATCCATAGGCAGCCCGATGGTAGTACAACTGTTCGGAACATCGACAATGCCCGCTATATGACCCTCAATTGGTGCGGTGGACAACAGTAGATAAATCTGGTAATCGTTGTAACCATACCTACGCAGGTACTCGATCACACGAAGACATGTCTGACGGTAGGCCACGGTAGTATCTAGGCAAAGCTGATTACCCTCTTCATCAACACTGAAGCCTTCGAATGTCAAGTAACGGTCGGGTCCAAAACGTGGAGCGACTGGTGACGGCAAGTACATTGGAGATTTCATCGCGAGTTTCCTCATACCGTTCTTTATTACGGAGACGCTAAACGTAATGCAGCCGGCCATTTCGATGGCACCACAGAAGCTAATTTCACCATCCCCTTGAGAAAAGTGAAGATCACCAAGTGAGAGCATACCACCTGGCAAATAGGTGGGCAGATAAACCGTCGAGCCCCGGGTGAGGGCTTTAATGTCACAGTTACCCCCATTTTCTGGACGGCCCGGAATGGTACGCGCACCGTAGCTAGCTACTGCTTTTTGCTGTTCCTCAGTGGCGTTGATTCCAGCGTAGGCGCCGTGTTCGTTTGGCAAATTGGCCATGACGAAATCGGCGTGAGGGTGGGCCTGAACGGGAGTCGTTTCACGAGAGTTCCATTCTGCTAGCACTTCATGACTTGGCAGAACGCCTATAATGCCCGGGTGGCAGATACCTGGGAACTTCACACCGGGAATGTGACGAGAAGTGGCTATAAATACCTTCAAAGTCAAATACGGCCTTTGCTGCCTTAGGGTAATGTTTGTCAAGAAATCCACCACCATTTTCCTTGGCGAAGACACCACAATAACCCCAAGGCTGACGTTCGAGAGGTTGGACGTCTTGGATACTAACTTTCAGCACGTCGCCCGGCTCGCAGTCTTCCACAAAAAATGGTCCAGACAAATAGTGTATTCTGCTCAAATCGCAGTACTTGATATCATCAGCAGAGTCATTGTTGCCAACTTGACCGCCTGTCCAGTCGAAACATTCGGCCTTGTACGATTTGTTCTGTTTAATACTGGCATTAGCCGGTACGTCTGGATGCCAACGGTTGTGTACGCCAGCCTGTTCGTAAGCGGGCTTGTCTAAATCGATTTTAACAATGTACTCGGACATGATTGGGGGAAGTCACACGTCTCTAGTACTTGAATCTAAACAGACGCCCTTATTCAATTGAGCACTATATGTCGCATAGATACTTTATATACTACTTGTTTTCTGCGGCTGGTCTTCTTAATAACCTCGATTCTGACTGTAGCTTTAATTTATCAACAGTCGAAATACTTATCAATCGAGATAAGGGTTCCCCTCATCGCTGATCAACGTAAATTAGAGAGCCGTGCCTATGGACAAATACCTCGAGCTGTGAGAAGCGCCACAATAAGAACCCCCTAGAACGGACGCTCGAAGGATATATCGGTCGGTTGTCAGGCATCGTGAATGCCATAACCAAGAAAGCTTTTGCCCCAAAAGGCCAAATTGCGCTCTACACTTGTAGCAAGCATGCGATACAGATGTAATAACAAACTGATACCGAGCTAAGGGCTAGCCACATCAGTCGACTGCTTCCAACACCCCCCTGATTAGTGCTGCACCTGCTGCAGCGTCAACTGATCACAATGTCTGCATAGTGGTCGGGTATCTCTCGGAGCCTTATCCGAGTGCGATAGCGCTGATGCCAAGTACGCAACAACCGGAATATTGCTGGATAACCGTTTCGAAAAAACCAATAAGGTTATGCAGGCAAGATAGGTAGATGATGGATATCTTTCACAGGAAACCACAAAGCAGAGAATGATAAAACTGATAAACGCGAGACAATATACCCCTATCTCATCTCGTCTTCTTGTGTGTTGCTCTGTCTTTCGGGCAATAATAGCTGTATTTAGCCATGCGAGAATGCGACGGCCTTGCCAATACGAATCCTCGCTATCCTGACTGTATAAAACGAGCGATAGAAGTCACCAGCCAGCACTTTCAACACAGCATCATAGCGGGAACATAAACTAGCAGCACTTTTCGCAATGGTTGAGCCAATTCTAGAACAAGCTTATGGTTACTGCTATATACTTGTGCTAGCTGCCGGGTTTGCAGCACTGATGATCTTCATCACAAGGATTCTGTCGAGTCTACTCGACGAGAAACAGAACTCGGAACGATTCACCACCTCTGGTCGCAACACCTCGTCCGGTCTGATCGCATCAGCCGTGGTATCATCATGGACCTGGCCCGGCACGCTACTGACATCAAGTGGGATGGCGTATGCTTATGGTATTTGTGGAGGTGCCTGGTATGCATTCGCGTTCACAATCCAAATTACCTTCTTTTCTGTGCTGGCGTTGGAAATAAAACGGAAGGCTCCTGGTGCCCACACAATTCTTGAGATTGTCAAAGCCAGATTTGGCAGGGTCGCTCACTGGGTGATGCTCTTTTACGCTTTGGGTACCAATGTTATTATTTCTGCGATGCTGCTGCTGGGAGGTTGCCAGGCCATTCATGTCATCACCGGCATGCATTTAGTCGCTGCTGCCATGCTCTTGCCAATTGGTGTGTTTGTGTTTACCGTCATCGGTGGGCTTAAGAGTACCTTTATTTCAGACTGGTTCCATACCATCATCATTTACCTTGTGATCATCATCAGCATCTTCAACACCTACACGAGATCGGAAAAAAATTGGTTCTATCGACAAGATGTACGATATGCTCACCGAGGTTGCTAAAGAACATCCATCGGCAGGCTACAAGGGGTCTTACCTGGCTTGGACCAACAAGACTGCCTTGCTGAACGGTTGGAACATCGTCATCGGCGGTTTCTCCACTGTGTTTTGCGACCCATCTTACTCTCAAAAGGCGATTGCTGCTAAGCCAAAGTCTAGTATGTTTGGCTACTTTCTAGGTGGTCTATGTTGGCTAGTTATTCCATTGGCTCTTTCCTTGGCTTCTTCCTTGGCAAACCTGGCTTTGGTCAACGACCCTGCATCCCCGACTTATCCAAATTTGGTCCCAACCACCCTTGTCAATGAGGGTATTCCTATGCTCTACGGGCTGTTTCTGACTTTGGGAAAGAGTGGATGCGCTGCAGGTCTACTTATGATCTGGCTAGCGGCCACTTCTGCCACTTCTGCTGAACTGATCGGTTTCTCTTCTGTTGTCACCTACGATGTCTACCGGGCCTACATTAATCCAAGAGCTAGTGGTAAGCAGCTTGTCAGCGTCACCCACATCTGTGTCACCCTCTTTGCGTTGGCTATGGGTGGTTTGACAGTCGTGTTCAATTATATTGGCATCACCATCAGTTGGATTATCAGTTTCATTGGTGTCATTCTGGGGCCTGGTGTATTTGCTTTCACTTTGAGTCTCTTCTGGAGTAGAATGACCAAGCTTTCTATTGTTGTTGGTCCACCTTTGGCTTCAATTGTCGCACTTATTAGCTGGTGCGGTTCTGCCAAGGCCTTCTACGGCAGTGTCAACAAAGACACGCTTGGCCAACAATATTCATGTGCGGTTGGTAACTTCATCGGTCTTTTTGGCTCCCTGATCTTCATTGTCATCATTTCTTTAGTGAAACCTGACGAAACTCCTTACGACTTTGACAGTCTAGATGAAAATTTCGTTGCTGCCGATGATGCTACCGTCGAAGAAGCCACAGCTATGAAAATCACTGATCCTAAAGAGAAGCAAGAACTAAGAAAATACTCCTTATACTCCCAGATCATTGCATGGTCACTATTCTTTATTTTGATCTTTTTGATACCAATGCCCATGTACGGTCAAAATTACATCTATTCGAGGAGGTTCTTCCGTGGCTGGGTAATTGTTGTCATGATTTGGCTTCTACTTGCCGCCACAATTATCATTTTATTGCCAGTTTACCAGAGCAGAGAAACACTACGCAAACTATGGAACATTTCCACGGGAAAGCAACAAAGGGAAGAGAAAGAGTTGCTATCAGCTCAACCTTCTTGTGTTATTGAAGGGATTGAGTAGGTTATCGATGTCAGCATTGAGACGGATGCTAAAGCGCGCGACATCTAAAAGTTTTGGCGAAAAGTATTATTGAGGCAAATCTGATTCATTAGTAGAAAGCTTACTGAATTTGTCTTGTACGTTGTTCATAGACATTGTAAGATGAGTGACTTGGATAGGGAATTCTATTTATTGAGGCGAATGTGATTCATTAGTAGAAAGCTTGCTAAATTTATCTTGTAATTCGTTGATAGACATGGTAAGATGAGTTACTTGGATCTATGGAATTCTATTTATCTCCGTGATTATTTTAGGCATTAGAGTTGGCTCTGTTACATGAACAAAGGCCTGGTATTTATACAATTCTGACGAGATGACGGTGGCAGCCGCACCCAAGACTACAGCGCCGCGCGAAAGACTCAACTTTCGCCAGATGAGACACGGGATGATTGCAGTCACGCGGCGGTATCTCCGCGACGAGCTAGGCGATACGGAGCCCATGCGGATTGCTGCATCAGAGCTTCTGGCAGGACACTCGGTGCAAACAGGGATGCAAGTGTACGGCGTGGACAAGTTCACGTTTGAGGGAGTGGACCACTCAACGGCATATTCCATGCAGGAGGAGATCTCCAAGCGGTGGATACGGTGGTTGGGGCTTGAGAGCGATCCGGAGGTGGTGTTGGCAGATGCTCAGAAGCGGACGTTCAATGGAGCGTATGTCCACGACGAGCGCAGCGCAGAGGACCTGGTCATGGCCGGCAAAGAGCTGTACGGTAGCGACTTTGTCTTTACGAGCATTGAGCAGAGTATGGCGTGTGTGGATGGTAGGCCCAAGGTTGTCGCAGTCCAGGCCCCGACCGGGTTTGGCAAGACCCTGTTGTTTCAGCTTTCACTCATCTGCCACGCACGGCGGAATCATGGCATGGTGTCCTTTGTATTTGTGCCGTACACAGCACTCCTCACGGGCACCATCCATAGACTCGGCGAGCGGGGCAATCTGCGCGTGCAGACGGTCAAGCAACTGTTCGACGCGAACCCGATTCATAATCACGCGTTCGAGGACGTATATGTGGGGACATTCAACGACGCCGCGGACGAGCGGTTCATCGAGATGGTAGCCGGTTGGGGGCTGCGGTTCCCCAATACGCGGCTGGGTCTGCTTGTGATCGACGAGTTCCACAATTCGTACGACGAAAAGAGCTACCGAGGGCACTCTTTTGAGGCGATGAAGCGGATTGCGTTTGAGCACTTTGAGCGAGTGGTTCTCGTCACCGCGACGGGGGCTCAAAACACGGCTCCAAAAGCACTGCGCACGCTGGGGTTCAGGGGCAGTGTGCACCTTGAGCACACCTGGAGCGGAGAGGGTGAGGATTGCCGACTCAAGAACGTGCCCATCCAGTTGCGGAACTACGTTCGCCGGCCCGCAGTGACCCACGTCTACAAGCACGCGATGCGGCTGGAGGGAGATGGAGTGTCTCAAGCAGCGACGTTGCTGGAGCGCCTGTTTGCGCACGAGCCCAAAGCCAAGGCCGTCCTGGTGCTGGGCAGAAAACACCAAGTGGAGCAGGCTTTCAAGGAGCTCGAGCAGAGGTTCAATGGAGCGTATGTCCACGGGGGACTTGACACACAAGAGAAGGTGCGGCGTGTGCACCAGTTTTTGCACGACGAGAGGCAGCATGTGCTGATAGGCACGAAGCTGGTGGCGGAGGGTCTCGACGTGGCATCGCTGCGGATGGTGCTGCTGATCGATTATGAGCCTAGGGTTTCCGAGTACATCCAGTGCGTGGGACGGGTGCGGGAGCACGGCATAGCGATAGCGCTGTGGAACAGCGACTCGTTCTGGAAGGACAAGAGAGACAGTGCAATGTACATGGACTATACGAAGTGTCCTACGCGGCAGATCTGCGAGTACTATGAGCTGCGCAAGGAGGGGGAGGGGGAAGAGGGCCATGCGGGATGCTGTGGGAGCTTTGACAGTGTGACGGGGGAGACCAGGCGGCTGTGTGGGCAAGTGCTGTTCAATGGGGTGGGCCAAGGGGAGGACCGCCAAGAGGGCTGTGAAGATGGCCCCCAAAGCAAAAAACAAAAGCACCAGCCAACTAGTACGGCAGCTCCTATTGACGACTGGGAGTTTCTCAGTAGCTCTTCCGAAGATGGCCCGGTCGGCCTCTCCCCCAGGGGGATACCGTCGCCCAGAGCACTTCACTGCTCAAATCGCTCTTGCGAGATAAGTACAAAGGGAAAGCTAGTGTGTTTGAGTTTCTTGGGTTCACTGGGCTGGAGCACCGAGACATGACTCTCTACGGCATCGACCATCGCTACTTTGCTAACATCATCCTCTTCAGATACAACACGGAGGAGCAGTGCGCAGGATGCTTGCAGCCGCGCGTGTCGTGCCTCTGCTGGTCAGAGCGGCCAGAGGGACATGAGCAGAGCCTGGGTAGTATGGCGCAGGAAGCAATGGCCTTTCTCAGTGGAATCTACCCGCCAGATCAGTACGAGGACGAGCTGCACCTGTGCATGGAGAAAACGCTGCCCGGCTGGCTCATTGAGTTTGCCATGAATCGGGACACAG